TCCATTCTCCTGCAGCAGACCGTCAAGAGAACTACACCCGGGGCCTCCATTCAGCCAAATGGTAATCTAAAAGAAAATGAGAACCAGCTCAGTGAAGTATCGGATGCCGACGTACCTCCTTCTCCGCAGCCGGGTTGGTAGATGGGAAGAACCAGAAGAACAAGCTGGAGTTTCCATGAGGTGTGTTGGATAGCAGACCGGAGTAACTTTCGCCGATATCGAAAGGCACTTGAGGAAAGTGTGTGCCATTGACGAGGAACTCTACTCAACGTCAGTCTCTTCTGTTCATGTTGCATCCATTGACAGATTGTCCCGACTCACTCTCTGTCTTTTTGTTCAGATATTGAGGCTCAGTCTGACTAGAGGTCACTTCTCTCTTGCGAATTGTCCTAGCTGACTGTTTCAAAGATGCAGCCTTGCGGTGTGGACTCTGCAAAGCAGCGACCGCAGCCACTAATAGTGTAAAGGGGGCCAAAACCAACATCGTGAGAGATTCCTGTTCAACTCCAAGCCGACACCCTAATTCGCGAGGCTATTCCATCTATTTAACGAGTCCATGTTGTTTTCTTTTGACCATGTACGATGCAGATCAATTTCTTGCCGGAGATTATCGCGCCACCAAGCTTTGCCGATGAAGCTAGAGTGCTCCACATCGTCTGGCGGTGATATCCGCCGTGAAGCAGTCATTCGTCGGTGCCAAGCGGGGTAACACGGTGGCCTAGAGTGATTGCAACGTTGCCAGTTATAACTAGGAAGGTGACATGCTAATTAATGGCGTCATGCCCGAAATTGAGGGTCTTGTCAATGGAGAAATCTATAACTCCGACGGAGTCCAGGTTCGTGTGCATATTGTGCCTCGGTTAGATAGCTGTTCTTCGCTAACGGGTCTTATCCGGGGGGTCCGTTGGATGCGAGGAAACGAAGCAAGGGAAGCCGACTCTTGGTTCATCGCTGCTTTAGTGAAAGTAGGACCCTTTTATTCCACAGTGAACTCCAATTCGCGCGACATGGCGGGAACTACCCGTTGATATGCGGGTTGCCGACATGCTAAGCATTTGACCAAAAAAGCGCCAACCACGGACATTTTAGACCAGTAATATGACATCCTTGAGTTGGCATGATCTTAGCCAATGGAGTCTTGATTCCTTCGGCTTAATATGGCATGATCTCTGCAGGGCGGCCCAAGCCGGAAACTGGGAAGGTCGACATGTAAATTAGAATCTAGCAAGACTTAGTACACTCTAAATTGCGTTATAAATATACCCGGCAACATAATTTTTGTCCTTTCCATAAAGAAACGCATCCTCTCAAGTTTTCTCTTTGATGCGCACTCCAACACAGCGCTGCTGTCCCAGGAAGGCGAAACCTTCTTATCGCCAGACTGAGCGCAGATTCGACCTGAATATTTCCACCATCGAGATGTAAGATCAGATACTGGTGCGTTGTATACCAAAAGCCATGAATAGCCGATCCAGCGGTAGGATATCACTCCCACTTCCTCATTCCCCGTATTCCGCGAGAGGGTGAGATAATCAATACGAGTTCTCCTGCCCAGCAGCAAAACACTTCCCCGCTAACACGACGTGGGTATCCAAGCCGAGAGTATGTTGCTTGTGGGTAGTCAGACGACCAAAGCCACCTGCAGGGAACACTGTTGGTAGGCAGTTTTCGATTTCGGATATCGGATCCGACGTTCTGTATCTCGAATTCGGGCTTTAGACCGACGAAAGTACTGTGGTTCTTAGCTTCTTGCGGGGTTTAGATATCTTTCACATGAAGAGGGGGTGCAACCATCTGGGAAGCTCGAAGCGAAAATCAAATCCAAATCCAAGAGTAAAGGCAAAGCAAAGCCAAGTTCCTGATCGTGGGGTAATACGCACACGAGAACCGGCACTCCGCGTTTCTTATCGGTCGCGTTGCAAGTACATGTAGACATGGATAGATTCATGGCACGTGGAAGACGGGGTTGTCAGATATAGTGGGGGTGGCTGATATCTGGCGTTAGCATCACCGGGAAAAAGAAGGTGGGACGTAACAGGAGATCATAAAGGGTCCAAGGGGTCCAGAGTTTGGTTTGGCTGTGCGAGTCGGAGATGTCTCATGAAGCCTGGGAAACTGGGGAGACGCGAGGGATACACAGAATGGAGAGGATCGGCGTTGTGTAACGCGTGGCATTCTTGATCGGCGCTGGGAGCTTTGGCATTCGCATGTGCAAATTATCAGGTGAGAATCTCATGAAAGGGCCAAGATGCTTGGCTGACCGCTGGGCATGTCGATGATCAGGTGGAAACATACGAGGGTCATATATTCCACAAAGTAAACACAGTAGTGATATATTGACAAAGACCTATATTAAACACCTAAAAGCACCTAGAGGGAAACAAAACAGCCTCTGGTATCATAAAATCACAATAACCAAAATCCAATGAGCATATACCAATGGGGGAAAAACCACCCAGAAACCAACACCAAACCCCGAATTCCAAGTGTATCCAGGTATCCCATTAACCAAGCATCATAAAATTGCATAAGAATCATAAAGGAGCATGTCGTGAGGTCGTCAAGTAAAGAGTCGGAAGACGAAAGCTCTAGGCAGTGCTGCGGCGCTTCTTCAAGCGCAGACTGATCCTCTTCTTAAGCGAGGAGAACGGGTTTGACAGTGGACGGTTGTAGAACGGGTCATTCTTGAAATCTTCGTCCGTGAATTTCTGTAACAGAATTAGGAAGTGTCATTTGAGAAAGGGACAGAAAAACATACCGTTCCTGGCAGGCGCATAAAGTTGCCAGAGAAATCGTTCATCATGTTGGAGCCCTCTTCGTAAGTATACTCCTGACCACTCCGGTCCGTAGTTCCGGGAGGGTAAAAAGCAACCCCATCCAATGGACGGTGGCTGTTCAAGGCATCCGCAATCTTGTGATGCGGTGTAGCCCGGAGGGCCTCGGCGTTGGATTCCTTAACAGCTTCAAGTGGGCTGTATTGACTGACACGGTTCCGTTCGGGACGGGCAGCATCGTAAGGTCCCTCGTGGTGATAAGAGAACATGGAAACATCGTCTAGTTTATCGATGATATCGGGTTGCACAAGCTGCGAGTGCCGCGAAGGCTTGTGGGTGTTGTGAGTAGTGCGGCGGCGTCGAGGCACAGATGGGTCCTGGCTGCGTCTCGGCTCTACCGGATAATGTTCGGGTGTGCCGGAATACCAGATCGATGGGGCAGAGTTTACTGACTCCGAGCGCGACCGTCGGGAGTACGCGGATGGAGCGGGAGACATGTAGCGGGCGTATGGATTGTTGCTGCCCATGCTTGAACTCATGCTTGGGCTCCGATCCAATGTGGCATCATATTGGTTCAAAGGGTGATGAGGATGGTGGCGCGAAGCCATGGACATACAGTCAACAGCCATTTGTGAGGTTCCAGAGGATTTGGGAAAGAAGAAAGGTCCAAGGCGAAGTAGGCGAAGTGTGAATGTATGCAGATCACACGATACAAGTATAAGTCACAAGTGTAGAACAAGTGGGGCTGAGCAGTGAGCTCGTACAGCGGCTGAGAATGATCTGGGTAGAATGAAGAGATGTATAGAAAATCGAGAAATGCAGAAGTAGAAGTAAAGAAGGGACATAGGAAGCTACGACTGTGACGTGACGTCTTGCGCAGCCATGGAGCCCATCAGACTTTATCCGAGTTTAGTTCGCGCGCTAGAATTTTCATCGGTCCTTGACTTTACCAATTATCGCTTAGTACCACCCGTCGACATGGATGTTAGCCCCAGATTTCCGTGGGTCCGCTTATTGAGGCTTAGTGCTGGACCCTGTCGAGTCTTCCTCTCTCTGGTTTGAGTGATATCATCCCGGTAAGCCCGTATGGACTCAGGCACTTACGCCACTATTCCAATAGTCCGATATTTTGTGCCCTGGGAATAATGGAAGGTAATATTTTTTAACTATAGTGACTTTACTTTCCATCTAGCTCAAGACATCCCATAATTCACCATACATAAAGACTAAAAGTCATGCAAGGTTGACGTTGCATCCACATCCGAGACTTCCACGTATTGATCGACTCCTATGACGATATCCCCTCCGTCCATTCATCCACTCCCTCCACTACATCCAATCTGCTGTCTTGTTTCGAAATGATCTGCTCATCGTAATTCCACATGAAATATCGAGGTCTCCTCACCAGTTTGGCCAAAACCTCAGTGTTCGCTTCCGGGGCTCCCGACCGATGACTCGCTCATTAGGATTTAAGCTTATTGCTAGGGACCCGGCCCCTTTATAGGGTCAAAGTAACACCCCTGGCGTGGTCTAGACCAGGGGTGGTCTAGATCCGGGATTAGATTGTCTCCCCTTGCTTGTCTGAGTCAACCATGCCAATAATGGACTGCTTTTTATTGGATAATTCCCCGTGTAAGTTGTATTCTCACCGCTTGTTCCTTGCTCATAGTACTATTTTTATCACTACATTCTGTTTTGATGGACTAACATTGATTGGAAGGGTCTCGAGTACGGACCTACGGTACAGATGAAATGCATTTGTGTTCTTGCAATAACGATGTCTTCCACCTATCAAATCCTCCATTGGATGATACCGCCAGTAGTTACCCGCAGCTGGGCAGAATACTACATAGAATATTCCTAGGATGACGCATTGGGTCTATGGTTCCACCTACCCATCTAACTTACATTTCCTTTATAACATTGATCATATTCTGCATAAATTCTAGCCAGGAAATATTAAGTTCCCCAAAGCATTTGATTTGGTACGTTTAAGGTCACTGTGTCGAGCCTTTCGAACAATGTATCTCTATGGACTCGTGCTTTATAGGAAGTGTCAGACTGAGCAACGATGTAATTCCTAACGAAAGTGGCCGCTTAATTGAGGCAGACTAAGCAATCAATCCACTCTTGATCTCAACTATAGTATTTGCCAGCATATCCCTAGCCCTCAGTCCTAACGCGTTGGATTCTTTTTCTCGAGGATTCGATATTTCAATAGCACCTTTACCATCCCCCTCCACGACCACCCCAGCCGCCCCTTCGACCACCCCATCCACCACCGCCATGCCCACCACCGCCATATCCTCCGCCGTAACCACCACCACCGCGTCCTCCACCGTAGCCGCCAGGGCCGCCGTGGTCTGAAGAATCTGCGGCATTTGTAGCAGCCACATCACGGGCGACGATGTCTTCCGCTTTTCTTTCGAGATTGTCCCAGTCTTTCGTTCATTCAGAAGTTGCCGTATCAATGTTTGTGTGCTATGATCACTTACCTTGTGGATTACGGCCGACGAGGATGTTTCTTTCGCCTGCGAAGCCACCTTCATCGTCTTTCGCTCATTTAGAAATTGCTGCAACAATGTTTGCGTACTATGATCGCTTACCCTTTGGAACAGGACTCGCCAGGGCGAGAAGCGTCATGCTGAGGAACAATATAAGACCGCTTGACTTCATTTTGTTGGGATGGTGTTTGCCTATAACTGTTATCAAAATTCATAGTTAGGGAGCATTCGCCATGGGTCTTACCAAGATAGACTGTGGTATCTGGTAAATGGATTGTAGATTCTCGAGAATGGATATCTAAAATAGCAGGAATATGTCTGTCGTTATATATGTGAAATATTCACTCGGTCGAGCGGCAGAGTCAGGATCTAGTGAACTAACTTTTCATCAGGGATATCAGGATTTGATTCCATTTCATCCGATTGTTGGATATCGTGGTTAACCTCCGGTCAGTATGACATTGTCCGACCATCGATCGTAGAATCGTATTAGGGCTGGTTATACTATCTACGATAAAGCTGTGAGTGCATACATGCCGTGTTTTCAAATTGGTCCACATCTGACTTGATGTGCTTGTCATCTTTCACTCTTGAATCAATGTGTTGAAGGAATACCCACAGCCATAAAAGGTATGAGAAGGGAAGACGGCGAGTAGTTGATGGAAGGGATAGGCGAAGAAGATTAGCAAGGAAAACCTGGTAACTGGAAATGTCACACCCTCCAAAGGTTTTGCTGTACTGAATATAATTATCTTCCGTCTGGGGGCAGTCAGGAATCCACAAGAGGAGACATTGGGTTACTCGTCCATTCGTTCGGGCTCATGTCAGTTCTATATAGCATTCCTTCTAAACCAACAAATACATAAAGAGGCTTAGAGACGAGAGTTGGATCTACCAACCTTGTTGAGCCGAAACGATGGACAAAAGTCCCAGGAACCTATAGCGTTGAGAATGAGCATTGCATTTTGGAACTTGCAGTTCTTCAACGTGACCAATGTTCGTCGATATGAAGATGCACGATTCATTGGACGTTGTACAGATCTGTAGCTAGCCATACTTGGGACCTTGCTTTCCCCACAATCCTAGTTACTCGGCGGATATTTGATTAGTGCTGGCCGGTAAGAGATAATGTTCTACTGCCTTATGCGAGTTATCAATATGGAGGTTGAAAGCGGGGATAAAGCAAAGGTGTTGACCAGACAAGTCCGCGATGCATATCAAACGTCTATAGTTGCTCGTAATTTTTGAGATTTCATCGGCGGAATAGCTTAAAGATAAAACATCAGAGATTTAGGAGACTCAATATGTCTTCTTCTACCTCTGTGCGCATTTTACTACGTAGGCAAAATCGGTCTGAGTCTGAGTACACTACCGGGCTGAGCTTGCACAAAGCCAACGTCATCCCAGGAACAGGGGCCTTAAGCTGTGTACGTATCGTTCAGATCATGTCTACGTACAATTATTCTATGAAATGACAGAGGCGGTTTCAATAGAATTCATATCATCTGGGCAGCCCAATCCTTGCGGCGAACGCTTCTAGGCTCTGTCTCCCAGTCCATAGAGGTGCTGTCGCACAGAACAGTCGGAGAGAGGAGACAAGACTACAATGACTACGGATGGCAAAGGATATATTACTTTTATTGAAAATAAAAATATACTATATTGCAGAGACAAAAATCCATGTTGAGTCTTAATAAAATTGACGGTCATAGGGTGCCCACTTCAAAGTTCTCCGCACAAAACAGACCACACAAAACACCTCAACACATACAGCCAGATGTCACTGGTACAATATTCCGATTCAGAGTCAGAGTCAGAGTCCAGAGAATTGCCCCCATGCAAGAAATCTCGTCATGACCCGAAACCAGGATCATCGCTGCCGCCCCTGCCTGCAGCGTTCCACGACCTCTATGCTTCCAGCACACGCGTAAGTGTGCAAGATGACCCCAGTCTTCATGGCGGTCGAAAACGCGCGATTCCGCATGTAGAAGGCAACTGGCCGACACATCTGTACCTCGAATGTGCGTTACAGTCCCTCGCCATGTTTCACTTAGTGTCAGCAGCTAATTCTTGGTAGGGTATCCTGCAAAAGAGGATCTGTCGCTCCTTACAGAACTCATCCTCCATGCTGAGACGTCACTGGATCAGAACGCGCCCAGCGTTCATAGTTTGTTGCATAGTGATCTCGGTGCTCAGCTGCCGCTTCACATTAGCCTGTCTCGGCCGGTGGTCCTTCGCACTGAGCAACGTGCACCGTTTACTGAGTTGCTACAGAAAGCTATCCATGTCTCGCATATCTCACCGTATGTTCTGGACTTCAAGCAAACCCCGAATCCCCTTAATTGTCATTTGCTAATACTGCCTAGATTTGAAATACTACCCGATACTCTGGACTGGGCATCTAACTACGACGAAACACGGTGGTTTCTTGTCCTGCGTGTCCAGAAACCAGCACACGATGGTCTGAATGGCCTGCTAAATCTATCAAATACCGCCCTTGCTCGCTTCGACCAACCGCCTCTCTACGCGGCCTCCTCGCATAAGCATAGTCAAAACCGTGCCTTGTCGCGTGGAGACAAAGGTTCTACACTATTAGAGGACTATTCAAACTGTTTCCATATCTCACTTGCTTGGAGTTTGTCAAGGCCTACCGCGAAAGACCGCGAGCGGGTCGCCGCTATAGACTTGCGAGCGTTGCGAGAAAGAAGGATCACGTTTGATAGTGTCAAGGCTAAGATAGGAAATAACGTAGTTAGTATTCCATTAGAAAAGGAGTTCTAAGCTGTGCATCGAAACTTCGGGTATTCCTCGTGCATCAATAGCGGCGTTTTGAACAAGACAACACAAAATATGACTTCAAAGAGTTATCAGCACAAGATACTCCATATTTCAGATCATGCAAATAGTTAATGACCAGATCAAACAAAGGATATCAGTAAATTATTGACTGGGGGTTGGAAGTCACATCTCGCGAATTCGACCTACTGTACACAGGCGAACCGTAAGTTGCGGACTGTATTACCGTAAGCATCCCCACGCGACCGCGTCTTTCATCTTTCGCGTCGACACCAGAGCATCATGCAGGTCCCAAATGTAACTCTGGTGAGTTTCCCAAGATTTCAATAATCTCACGTTCTACTCACATGTTTTCTACTAGGATGATCTCCAAGCCTTCCACTCCAAGCACTTCCCAGGCCAGCCACAGCCCACCCTCCCACAACAAAATGACCAGCTCCCAGAGGACGAGTTCGCAGACGAAGACCTCGGATACTATCCCGACGGAGTAAAGCGCACGCTCACCGATGAGCAAATCCGCATCTTCAGACACAGCGAGATCCATGCGCTGCTGCGACAGAGGCAGCTGCAGGCAGACGATGCAGAGTACGAGGCTCGCATGACATCCTCGGAAGATAAGCCACCTGCGGCGAAGAAACCAACCCAAGATACAAAGTCTGCTCCTCGGGGCGGTGATACCCACGCGCAGTCACGGGGACAAGGGAGTTCTAAAAAACACGTCGCTGAGGACATGGCCTCTGAACCTCTGGATTACGGCGAGGAGAGCTCTGACCGACTTCCTGCGAAGAAGCCAGCGGATTCGCGTGTGCCATATCATGGCCGCAGAATCATTTCTTACGATGACTGAATGGTTCCAATGTTACAACGATGCCTGAAAATCACCCCGAGTCCACAGGATGAGGCTGTCCAAATCTTCGAGCTAATGCACAAACACCCACCCGCTACCCTTGAAAGGACAGAAAACCGGCGGTGAGTCCCATCTATTTCAACACAGCACCTTCCTCCCCCTCTTTTATCATGATGAAATCCATCGTATAGTCATCCTTAGCCAGAAAGCCATGCCATCTGCGGATGTGTGAGGCATTGACGACTTTAATCTTCTCTCTGAAAAGCTTCATAAACCTTGTGAATGATATGCACGCTGTTTAGCTAAGATACTGACTGTCTGCTTATCAGGTTTCCCTCCACATCCATTTACACAGCTCTTCAATACCACACTGGGATCCCTGCACCAAGGTTGAACTCTGTCTCAAGGTTCTATCCACCTACACTTATCAGGTTTTCTATAGGGCCGATTGCTCACATGGAATAAGTGAATACAGTTGTTAGAGCCAATAACACCAGTGGAGGAAATTGCACCAGTGTCATCTCAAGGCCAACACATGAATCCGAAGGCCCCAACTCCCATGTTCAACGGGAATGAATGCCAATTCGACATCGATCATTGATCAAAGCAGGCAGATCATGAGAACCGGTCGTCCAAGGCAAAAGTCAAACAGAGCTGATCTACAATCAAAATGCATTCTTGTTACAATTTTGATATGTCAGACAAACCTCGGCTTACCCGATTGACGACGATTATGATTGAATGAAACATGATTCTCCTATCAGAGCTATTGAATGAAACATTGATTCTGCTATCAGAGCTTTCTAAGGTTAACCTGGGCCCACTGTCTTCCCACAAGCTGACTGTCTTGTCTATTGCCGCTCTTTTCGTCCTCCTTTTTGATCTCTCATAAGAACCACACAGGGTTGGTTAGAGCCAACACCTCATCACTAGTCGAGTTCCTCACCTCCGCCCTGATGAACTTAGCCCCTGAAGGAACTGCGTGCTGAATCTCCTTGTGATCCACGATTGACGCATTGTAAATGTATCCTTGATCGGAGATCAGACACATACGCTGCCCAGCTAACCCTTCAGCAGAAAAACGAGCATCCTTCATCTTAGCGCTCAGCCTATCCCCAATCTGAGCCGGAGCCACCAAGGACTTCGGAACCACCTCAAAAGCAATATCCATACCAGGCCCCTGTACCAAATAAACCCTCCCAGCCTTAACACCCTCAACAATAGCCGCCTGACTCCGTCCTCGCCCCTTGACAACAGAAGTGGGCAACCCATTAACAGACGGCGGCGCATGAGAATCACTACCACCAATAGCAGTAATCCTCTTCCCTTCAACAAGCATCTTCTGCCACAGCTGCACAGCCTGCTCATCTGTCGAATCCCAAGGCCCATTCCAAACCTCCACAGCATCATTACTCTCCCACCCAAGACTCCAATTGCAAGCGGGACACTCCGCGAACGGATGGTTGACAGACACGAATCCACCAGCACGACGGACCTGCTCAGCTGCTTCGGCGAATCCAGGCTTATCGCCCGGTTTATATCGCCAGTCGATGACTTGCTCCCTGTCTAAACCGACAGCTTGCCAATGTCCGTACCGAGTCGTGACCTCGATCGCACGACCGACTAGTAGATCCGGTGCATATGCAGCCTGGGCTGAGCCAGCGATTTGGTTGCTTGTGTCTGTGTTGTGGTCGCTTAGGAAGACGAAGGACAGGTCCCGAGATTGGCCGATTGCAACTTGCTCTTCGGGTGTATATTTACCATCTGAGTAGATGGTGTGCATGTGGAAGTCGCCCCGTTGCCAGGTAAACTCCTCTGCTTCGGTACAACCGTTGCAAATCGGGTCCATGTTCGTGGGGGCGTATGTCGGTGTGAATGTTGCGTTGACTGGGTCAAATCCCATTGCGATTTCGAGTGTCCAGTCAATACCCTTTGCGGTAGACTCGTAGGGACCCAAAACTACATTCCAAGTTCCTGGACTAATAGGACCCGGGTTGTAGCCGGGTGTTGCCCATGCAGGCGTGATCGTGAAGTTGTTTCTTGGGGGAATCATGGATGTCAGCTCACTGACTTCTCTGCTGATACACTCAAACAATAAGACTTGGATCATGATAGCACTCACCGTTTTCCACCTGACCATCCCCTCGTCCCGAATTGACCAAATGAGTTGGGAACCTCGACGCCTCGTTGATCGAATAGACCTAGATCGAGCGAACTGCCATTTCCCTTCAGCGCGTAGTCTTGCACCACGCTGATGGAGGTAACTCCCTCTTCCACTTCGAATGAGACATATACGAAGGAGTACACTTCAGACTGGTCAATGTGCCCAGAAAGACTCAATTGAACAGGTTTGCGTGTGTTCGTCGCCGTTGCCGAAGTAAAGAGACATAGGAGCGAGAACCGCAGGGCATTTTTGGTGCTAAGCCCCATTTTCGTGGCGGTAAATAACCTGAACAGGTAGAATGTCTGAATTCATGGGATTTATGGCATCTTAGCTCTCTACTTTATACATCGCCGGGATTGTGGCTCGCATACTATCCCGTCTGGCGGGATATGAGTGCGGCTTGACCCGACAAGTTTGCTACCACGTGGGGCGGTGATTCGTACAACAGGCGCGTCAAGTTTGTCAAAGAGCGCGGGAAAAGGGTCTTCGGGAAAATTGTCGCGGATTTCAAGGTGCGAGTTGGAGATATTTGCATGGACCCTTGTTAAGTGCCCTGCCCCGCTTGATTGGCTGTTGATGGTGCATGCCGCAGAAGACAAAACGGTCCAGTTAAATAAAGATTGAAGGATGCAATGGTTCGATATTCACTGATAGCCAATGCATATATGTTTGTACAAGTCTATATAAAGTCATCTGCGCGGCAGTATGATATGCAAAATAGCAGTAGTAGGTATACAAGGCCGATAAGCCATAGGTTAGCTAACGACAGCTCCCAACTAGCGCCGTATCCACCACAAAAAGATGAATGTAAATGCCCCAAGATGCAAGATTGTAACGCCGTGAACACCCCATCTATAACCCATTTGATGCAAGCCAAGCAAAATTAGCGGTAATCGTTTATGTCGAGTTAAGCATTATTAGCGCAGGAGAAGCTTGCGCTGCTGGGGTTGTCGTGGATTGCTTTGCCGGAGACGTAGAGGCCGAGACCACACTATATGCATGTTAGTAATGAAACAATAACAGATCAATGTAAAGATGTGACATACAATAGCTGCACCGACCGCAATGACGAAGACATTCAGTGCTGTGAGAGCGATCTTTCGTGGCGAGGAGAACCAGAGGCCCTTGTTCATGAATAGCCAGAAAATCCCACTCAGGCCGTAGGTGAACCAACTGGCGAAGAGGGCAGTCTGGAGTAGGAAGTTAGATATTTGAGCAATATCGACATCGAGAATGGGGTATATCATACGATCAGACTGAGTAGGCTGCTGAAAACTGGGATGGCACTAGAGATAATCCAGGCCAAAATCCACAGCGAAAGAGAAATACCAACCCAAGAGCCAACGGCGACGACATCGCGCTTGTGCATACGGTCCGTACCACGGAAGATGCGTGTGTATACGTACTTGAATGCGACGTGGCCGTTGATAACACCAGCGATGACGATCTAAAGACAAAATTAGCATCCAATCCATAGATATTAGTGTAGTGGTGATCCTACAGTAGGCAAGGCAATGCCATACGCAACCTTAGCGACGACAGGTGCGGCAGATCCCAGAGCAGGCGAGGTAACGTCAGCACCGGCATAGCGGTAGATGACCACAGCGGCCATGATGTAGAGTGCCATGTCGATACCCTGCAGCAGACACAGGGACTTGGTGAAGTCGCGCGGGTTCTTCAGTTCGGCCATCAGGCCGAAGAAAGCTGCGTGACCGCAGAAAGCAAAGACAATGTTACAGACAGCCGAGAAGCCGAGGTAGAGGTTTGTTTCGACGGCAACCTCGATGCGGCCGCCGGGTTTCTCGATTCCGACGCCGATCATGACAATCAGAACTGCGGTCATGATACTTCCGAATGCTGGAGGTTGTTAGTTTATACTTTAAATACGGGAGGGACAGGATATACATACAAACTAGGGAGAGCCATGACATCTTCACCAGGGTTCGGGGCAGAGAGCAGATGAATGATACAATCATGCCCACGATGCCGAAGACGATTGAGCAGGTGCCGTGGTTAGTGATGGTGTTCATAGCCACCGTAAAGGTCAACAGATGGCTGGCCATGACGAAGACTAGGAAGATGGTTTGCGCGACACCCAGAATTTCACGACCCCATTTCCCTGCCAGGACTTCGCCTGCATCGGCCATTGTCGAGATGTGAGGATATTTCCATTTCATTTGTCCGATCACGTATCCGGTATACGTGGCCAACGAGCCGAGGAAGACAAGAATAATAATCGCACTGTTAATGATGTTAGCTTCCATTATTTTCGTCCGACCTTGAAGAGAGGACAAGCATACGGAACAAATCCAAGGCCTGCGACAGCAGCAGGCAGCGATAGAACACCCAGGGAGACGGTTTCGGCGACCATAACTGGTAAATGTTAGACTCGGATTCAACTCGGGAAATGATGTATCGTCACATACGCAGACCGCATTGCCTAGATAAATCAAATTTAGTCACAGAGCTATCACAAAATCGAAGCTATGCAGACATACCACCACTTTAGAACCTTGTACTTCACCTCAGCAAACTCCTCATCACCAAAAGCATCTTGCTTGTACTGCGGTACATTATCAGGCTTTTGGAGATCCGCATCCAAATCAGCCTGATTGAGATCCAAGCTCTTCTCCCTCGAGCCAATCTCCAAATCAGCAGCAGATGAGCTCATAGTGAAGCCAATATCGAAAGTAGCAGACACGCCGTATAGATCTCGGGACCAATCAAAGCAAAACGAAAGACAAAACAAACAAAGATCGACAAGAGCAGAAAGATATAACAGAAAAACAGTATGAAAATCTCAAAATCAAAATCAAGTTGCAAAGCTCTTGAAGAATAAGAAACCGCCACCAAAAGCGGAAGTGGAGCGCCGAGACGCGGACCGTCGCAACGAATCACCAGGGCGCGACGTAATAGAAATTTACGGAAAAGCCTTAGTTTACTGGGTCTGATGCTTCAAATGTCGTTGAAAACTGGGGAAAATGGAAAACTTCTCTCCGATGTCGGTCTGCTAATACTATGTTTTCTATATAGACTGCAAATCAAATGGTGATCATATTTGATGGAAGGTCGATGGAAAATTCTCTCGGCGGGTTCCGCTGATCCCTGCGGATTTAAGGCTGAGATTTTTTAAGCTTAGTCTAGCTAGTTTAGCCTAATTTGAGCTGTGAGCTTTCGGTTGGTCTTGACTGTCTTTTGCCGCACTAAATTGCAGGAGGCGTCGGACATCGATCGGAGTTGCATGGCTTGCTCCGGTAGCCCAATTTGTTGTTGGCGCATGAGTCATTTATGCTACATTTTGGATTCTGATTGAGTATTCTTTTTGGCATTGTAGCTATGAACTACATGTCATGACCCAGGAACATGGCCACCCACATGGCATCGCACCGGCGCCTATCAACCTGGCCAGCCAAATGGCTTCGCAGTTGCAAGGGAAAAAAAGTATAAAAGGAGCAAATAAGCCCACAGCAAAACAGAACAAACAATGCGTGGCGTGAAGATCTCTATTGGTTACAGTGACTTGATATCACTGATATCTCGCTGAGCTCGTGGATGCCATGCGTCCCAGGTAGTCGGTTTGATTCACTCCCACTTTCGCGTATGCCATGTGCAAACGAGTAACCTGCCTGTTTCGTAGTTCCTAGGGGCCACCTTGTGATGGACCCATCTCTGTAATCGGTTCTCTTCAGCGAGGGCGTGATTCCTTCAGGCTATCAAGGAAGACAAGCTAGATTGACGAATCAATTAATCCTTTCCGCTTTCTGTTCGCCTATATCATTGCCATGTATGCCAGCACTTGAATATTGCCGACTAGAGGTCTTACTTCGCTTCGTTCGATAAGTTGTCATCCAGCGTGCAGAGCGGCAGTCTGCTTGCGCAAGCGAGAACAGGGGGAGGTGGAGGCCACACATCTCCCTCTTTATCCACAATCCCAACACGTTGTAATCTCTCGAAAAAGTCAGGGGATGAGTCCAACAGTTCCCATATCCAGATGTTTTCTCCTCCTCCTTCAATTCAATGCAATTCTGATGGAAGAGAGTCAGTGGAGCACTTGGGCGTAGACACGCAGCGGTTGCTAGTACGGACCTTTCCTAGCCCCATCTCATCGGCCAGGAAGCCTCCGCGCTTCCGCTTCTCCTCAGAGAGGATGGAGTATGCGGCCCAGGCCTGGTAGGGCTTGAGCTTGATGGCGAGGCCTGGGATCTCCACTAGGGTATGGCGGTGAACCGGCTGTGCATCTTCATCCACCCGAGGGTCTGCCTCGTGGGCCAGCAGCTTGAAGAAGCGGAGGTATCTCTCCCAGTGCTGTCGGTCTGGGGTGGCGGTCCGATCAAACGAGGCGATGAATTCCCGGCTCCTATAGCATATTGTGTTAGCATCAGGACCATGTTCACCGTGGGGTTGTAGCGTAGTACACTTCGGTCACACTGTCTGTGCCATATGCACGAAGAAGGTCACCTAGTAGCTGGTGCTGGTTTGGATACGGGGCCGGGATAGCAGGGTTGCTGTCGGAGTCCGAGTCGACTATCAGTGGTCTCCCTGGCACAGAGCCGCGGCTGCGTCTGTAGTGGTCATGTAAGCAGGGTATCAGTGAGGCGGGTAAGGGGGCGCTACCGCTTTTTAGACGACATGGCTCGGTGGTGGAACTGGCGGAGCGGACGGAGCTGCTGTGGAGTGAGGATTGGCCTAGAGAGAGAGAGAGAGACAGATCTCACCTACTCGACCGGACGTTGTGTTGAGTCGTATATCATATTTAGCAGCCTGATTGGCAAAAAGGGCACATTGATCTCGCAGAGTTGACCTTGTCGACTGGATACAAACTGATCGTTATCTGTCCGTGTATCTTCAAAGAAGACCAAAGTTTTTGGGTGTTTCTCGGTGTGGTCGACCATTCAATCATGTCGAATCTGAACAAATTCACCCAACTCACATGGCACATCTGACCGTGGGGATCTCATGCCTTGGTTTGCCAGGGGTTGTGAGATTGCCAAACTTGTCCTGTTTGTCGTGGTTGTCCACGCACAGAACAAATCGGAAAGATTGCTGTTCATGATCGATCGAACAGACAGAAAAACAATGCCCAAGATCAATTCGGGATGTACCGCGCGCGAACCGGAAGAACCAACCGGTTTAGTCCGTCGAGAATTGTCGTATGGACGATAGTCAGGACTCCTTCAGTCGCGGATTGCAGCCTCCATGGTGCAAGGTGACCCGGTCCGACGGCGAGAATCATTAGGACGAACAACAAGGGCTGTCGGCCTGCTATTGCCATCCTTTTTGGCGGCCTTGTTCACAGCAGCAGTGTGCTGCTACACGGCTCGTAGCAGGGGAGTTATCAGCTAGCGCAGTGACGTAGCGATCTGACTTCCCAGTCGCGAGGGACGTCCTTACACTTCCTATTACGGTCGGTGTAACCGTCACACCTCGGCAGAGTCTTCTCTTGTGCGACAAGTTCCTCGAAGGGGAGGAATTGTTGATCTCGGGCTGTGCCTCCAGGTCACGGACGCATGGAGGCAGCTCGTCAGGAGTCAGTGTATGTCCACTCACTCTCCCTTTCATGTCCTCGGAAATGCCACAGGAATGCAGTTCTGTGAGATCCAGTCTTGATTTTGAGTCGTGAACTCCCAGCGTGGAAAAATGCACGGCGGCTCGCGAAGCTTCGAAATGAGCTGACAGTGGTGGAACAGTGAGCAGACATTTGTGAAAACAGCGAAAATGGGAGCAGACGAAATGGTAGTGGAAGAGGATGATATATACGCAAAGACATGTATGTATATATATATGGAAGAAGAAGAGTGGAAGAAGAGTGGAAGAAGAAAGATAGAAAGTGGAAGAAGAAAGATAGAAAGTGGAAGTGGTTGAAGAAGAAAGAAAGAGGAAGAGGGAAGAAGAGGAAGAAGTAGGTATATATACCAAGTGGAAAAGTGACGCAACTGAAGAAAGAAACAAGGTAGCACAAGATCTTAGGAACTCAGTATTCTTCACAGGCAGAAGTACAAAGACAGAATGAGAATGGCAGACAGCCAGGTATACATTTCACATAATTCTCACTTGATATACCTGCTTTCTACGTGACATTTCAGATACACCTTTACAGAATGATCAAAACAGAAAGTAAGAATAGACCACATCTCTGCAATCAATTCAAAATGCAATGACCTACTACCTAAACCTCAGATGTATACATACAACCCGGGAGCCTCAGCCCACGAAACCCATATTCAATCGACGCCCGCGCCGGGACATCCAGTCCATGAGAAAGTGCACGAGAACGAAAAAGAAAAACAGAACACCATGCCCATAGCGCCAGTATGCTATCGTACAGAAACAGTGAAAAGTAAAAGAGAACAGAAAAGAAAAGAAGCAAAACCATGCGCATCCATGCGAACCCATAAATACCACCATCCCACCATAACAAATCCAGAAATACACGCCCTCTTTTTTGGTTCAAAATAGTAACGACTCACCCCTGGCTCTGCCGTTTAAGCCTCCGCCTTTTCCGCTGGGAAGCAGTGATAGCCTCCTCAGTAAGAAGTTCAGCCGGCGGCTCGAACTCGTGCTCAACCTGCTCAGGAACCGGATGGCCAAAAGCAAGAGAAGAGCGCGAGCCACCGCGGCGGTCACCCTTTGTTGCGGCGATGGCTGCTTCGCGGACGTGCTTTTGGCGGAAGAATGAGGTGAAGGGTTTATCTTGGACGACTGGTTCGTAGAAGAAGGACAGAGGCATTTGTTTAAGGGCTTTTGGTGGAGTTGGGTCGGTCTTTTTCTTTGTTTTTGGGCTGGTTTTGGGGGCGGAGATGGGTGTTTCGGTTGCATTGATATTTCCACGGCTGTGGCCGTCACCGTGTGTATGGGTGGTTTTGGTGTTTGAAGTAGATTTACGGGAAGTTGTTGACGGCTTGCGTGGTTTGGGGGCTGATGCAGAGCGCGCTTCTTGGTGGAGTTGGCGCGCTGCTAATGCGTCCACGTCGTTGGGATCTGGCGTGCTTTGTATGTCTGTCCCTGGTGCTGGAGAGCTGTCCATATCCTCGGCAGGGCGGGAGCGTTTTCGAGATTGGTTGCGGGATGCAGCATCAGACTCGTTGTCTAGAGTTGGGAGAGGTTTCTCTTTGGCGAGCTTGCGGCGTCGTTCCTCGTCTTTCCAGGCTTGGAATTTGTTGACCAGGGCGACTAGCTCCGAGATGAGGATATCTCGCTTTGGCTCGTACTGCTTCTTTTCGCTTTCGTGCACCCCAGGCAATCCCATCACTCGTAACCAGTCGTGACCGCGGAGCTCGTCGAGGAGTCGTTCCAGGACCTGCTGTTCATGCTGTGCGCGGTCTCGCTCAATATTTCGTAACTGTTTCTCCTGACGCTCGAACTTGCGATGCGCGCGGAAGTATGTCTCTGCACCCAGCGGGTCGACAGCAGTTGGATTTGATGCCGGCTCATGAAGTGTGATCTTCTCGCAGTCGTACAGCTTGAGGAGAGGGTTTCCGAAGGGCGTCGGCTCAGGCTGCGAGGAGAAGGGTAGAGGTTGGGAGAGGTCATCGACAAGTATGATGGTAGTTTTGGCATTGAGAGATTCTGTAAAACATCCAAGTCAGTCGTGTCCCAATACACCCATGATCACACCCAACTTACCTGGCTCAGGATCCTCCAAACTGATAATCTGTTCATAGCTATGAAAATACTGCGCAAGCTCGCTCTTACACCGTGAGCCGGTATCGGTCGAGCGCAACGACCGCCGTCCTGCCTGCTTCTCGTCCACCTCAGGCTGCTCGCCGTCGCCCACATCGCTCTTGCGATTTCGCGTCGACGTCAACCCAGCCGCACCATCGCCACCCCCACCACCGTTGACCGTTTCCTGCTTCTCACTCAACGCGCGAGTATCAAATCGACGAGTCGCACGAGCCACGGGCGAAACAGCAGCCTTGACATCCGACTTCGCAGTCACAGCGGGCGTGACAGGTCGCTGCTTAACCGCGACAGACGCAGGCGCGGGCGAAATAGTATCCAACGGATCTGGCGACTCACGAGCAGACAATAAGTCGGTCGCGATCGAAGGTGTGTTGGGGTCACGGGCGCGGCTCCTGCCATTCCCATTGGCGCGAGCAGCCGGTGTCGCCAATTGCGCGGAGGCGACCGTATCAACGGACGCGGAGGAGTCGCGACGAGTCGAGGTCCGCGGGCGCGCGACTTTCAAGGGTAGATTCGGGCGCGGTTTGGTTTCTGGGGTTGTGGTGTCGAGGCAGTCGGGGGAGCTGCGGCGGCGGTTGAGGCGATGTTTCTTTCCGCCAGGTTCTTCCCGTCGCACAGAGCGGAGGGAGGGCCGTGACAGGAGGGCCATTGTTCGGTGGTTGGAGGTTGTTTAGTCGGTCATGGTGTGGTAGGGGTTCGAGGGGGGATGAGATGGGAAGTTCTTGGCGGGATGGGTTTATATGTCGGCGGCGACGGGGATGGAGATATTGTTTTTGATTCTGTTCACGACTATTTGCGTTTTTATTGTGGTTTTCTATTGGTATTGGGGGTTTTATTGTGATTCTGTGATTTGACTGTTGTATTGCTGATTGTATATTGTATACATTGCATTCATTCTTATTGAATTATAGTAGAGACAGTATGTTATACACTTCATAATGTATACGACATTTGCCTCCATTACCTCAATCGCCTCAATTACTCCAATTCTGCCAATGTAGTATTAATATTCGGAAAAGCAATTCACCCCCACGACAGTCAAGTGTGGGGGACCATGGAGATCCCATACATGCAGGTCAGATTACATGTGAATAGTCTCTTTCTCGTATACTAAGTTAAAAGAGTGAGACTGAGTAGCCGAAGTAGGTAGAGATCGAGAGTAACACAGAGATCTCCGAACACAAGATGTATACTTCTACACAGTGAAACAATGAAAGTATACAACTTCCACAACCCCGCATGACCGTGGGGGAAACGCTGGTTAATTACAATTGTAGGCACTGCTTCACTCCCACGTTGACATAAATCCGGGCACTGTGGGGTGAACGTGGGGGGTTGTTTAGCTGGTCCGACGGCGAATGAAGTTCTGCCCATTTCTCTTCGGACTTGGTATAAAAAGCAGGGACGCTCTCCAATACTCCCCAGATCACATACCAAACCACCCAATATGACAGCCAACGGCACAACCAAACGCAATCCCCTCCCCCACGGTGTCTACGTCCCCACCGTGGCCTTCTTCAAGCCAGACGAAGAAGTCGACATCGCAACCGTCGAAAAGCACGCCGCCTACCTCGCCCGCAGTGGCGTAACAGGCCTAGTAACCCAGGGCAGCAACGGCGAAGCCGTCCACCTGGACCGTGACGAACGCAAAGCCATCACAGCAGCCACACGGCGCGCCGTCGATGCAGCGGGGTACAGTAGCATGCCAGTGATCGCCGGCTGTGGTGCCCCCTCAACGCGCGAGACCATCCAGTTCTGCAAAGACTCCGGCGAAGCAGGTGCCGATGCGGTCCTGGTGCTCCCGCCCAGCTACTACAAGGCGCTCGTGAGCAGCGAGTCCATGCACGCACACTTCCAGGCGGTGGCTGATGCCTCGCCGGTCCCGGTGCTCATCTACAATTTCCCTGGGGCGTCGTCGGGGCTGGATCTTAGCTCCGATGATATCCTCGCTTTGTCGGTGCATCCTAATATCATCGGGTGCAAGCTGACCTGTGGTAACACTGGTAAACTTGCCCGTATTGCTGCTGCGAAGCCTGATTTCCTTACCTTTGGTGGATCGGCCGACTTCACCCTCCAGACTTTGATTGCTGGTGGTGCTGGTATCATTGGTGGTGTTGCCAATATGATTCCTAGATCTTGTGTGCGGGTTATGGAGCTCTATCGCAGTGGAAAGGTTCAGGAGGCGCAGAAGGTGCAGGCTGTTGTTGCTCGTGCTGATTGGGCTGCTATTCATGGTGGCTTCATTGCTGTCAAGACTGGTCTGCAGTCTTATCGTGGCTATGGGGGTCTTCCTCGGCGGCCTTGTGTTGTCCCCGATGTGAAGGCGGCCGCGGCCATTCACGAGGAGTTCCGTGAGGGGATGGAGTTGGAGAAATCACTGGAACAGTCTTAACTATACCATAACTTGAAATGATACATGAGGTTCACTTTAATTTGTGTATGTGTGTAGTTGTAGTTGTAGTTGTTGTTGTAGTTGTAGAGATCCCATGTCACTGTATCATTGTAGATAGCTCACCCCTCTTTAATGTGTCCTCGTGGCTTCGAAGCGAAGCTCAGAGTCGCATGTGGAGGTCGCAGTTAACTTATCTATTAGTATAGTGTAATTAGTGTGGCTATTGTAGCTAGTGTAGTTAGTACAGGTGTAGTTAGTCAAATGTAACATGAGCTGCTGAAACAAGGGGTTTGTTTGTCTATCTTCATCTCCACAGTTGCATTGAAGGGATCGGCATGCTACACTTAAATAGTCCAGCGTTTCTCTTCTGTTCGGTGCTTCTATTCCTCGCCATTACTCACCTCCTCACGATGAAGTTCGCCTCCGTCCTGAGTGTTCTCGGGGCTCTCACGGCCGTGTCTGCCGTCCAGGTGAACCCACTTCCCGCCCCCCGCAACATCACTTGGGGTTCGTCCGGTCCGATCCAAGTGCGACAATTGTCTCTACGCGATAGCCACACCAGCTCGGTGGTATCCAGTGCTTGGTTGCGAGCATGGAACTCTATCACCACCCTGCAATGGGTCCCCGCCGCCGTGGAAGCTCCTATCTCCAACTATCCGCCCTTCCCGACCCAAACCCCCGAGTCCAAGACCAAGCGCGCGACCGGAGGGATCCGCTACGTTGAGGTGCAGATCAAGGACAGCAAGGCCGATCTGCAGCACGGCGTGGATGAATCATACACGCTCGAGGTGTCCAAGGACTCCAGCAGCATCAAGATCACCTCCCAGACCGTCTGGGGTGCGTTGCATGCGTTCACAACGTTGCAGCAGATCATCATCTCCGATGGAAAAGGTGGCTTGATCATTGAGCAGCCTGTCAAGATCCAGGATGCGCCGCTGTACCCCTACCGCGGCATCATGGTCGACACCGGTCGCAACTTCATCTCGGTGAGCAAGATCTTCGAACAGATCGACGGCATGGCTCTTTCCAAGCTCAACGTCCTGCACTGGCACCTGGACGACTCCCAGTCCTGGCCGATGCAGATGCGCTCCTACCCAGAGATGACCAAGGATGCCTACTCTCCCCGCGAGATCTACACCGAGGCCGACATGCGCCGCGTCATTGCCTATGCCCGTGCCCGTGGTGTTCGCGTGATCCCTGAAGTCGACATGCCCGGCCACTCGGCCTCAGGCTGGCAACAAGTCGACCCGGAGATTGTGGCGTGTGCCAACTCCTGGTGGTCCAATGACGTGTGGGCATACCATACCGCGGTCGAGCCTACCCCGGGTCAACTGGATATCATCTACAACAAGACCTACGAGGTCGTCAACAACGTCTATCATGATCTGTCCGCTATCTTCGCCGACAACTGGTTCCACGTCGGCGCCGACGAGCTCCAGCCCAACTGCTACAACTTCAGCACGCACGTTACCGAATGGTTCGCCGAGGACCCATCACGCACATACCATGACCTAGTCCAATACTGGGTCGACCGCGCGGTACCCATCTTCCGCAGCGTCGGCGGCCACCGCCGGCTAATGATGTGGGAGGACATCGTCCTCTCAGCCGAAAACGCTCACGATGTCCCCAAGGACATCGTCATGCAAACCTGGAACAACGGTCTAGACAACATCAACAAACTAACAACGGCCGGCTACGACGTCGTCGTCTCCTCCTCCGACTTCCTCTACCTAGACTGCGGCCACGGCGGCTTCGTCACTAACGACCCCCGCTACAACCAAAACTCCAATCCCGACGGCGGCGTCAACTTCAACTACGGCGGAAACGGCGGATCCTGGTGCGGGCCCTACAAAACCTGGCAACGTATCTACGACTACGACTTCACCTACAACCTCACAGATGCGCAGGCGTCTCACATCCTCGGCGCCGAGGCACCTCTCTGGTCTGAGCAGGTCGATGATATCAGCGTCTCCAACCAGTTCTGGCCGCGTGCGGCTGCCCTCGGTGAACGGGTTTGGTCGGGCAATCGTGATGCTGCTGGTCATAAGCGCACTACTGACCTTACTCAGCGTTTGCTTAATTTCCGCGAGTATCTGGTTGCTAATGGTGTTATGGCTAATGCGCTCGTGCCCAAGTATTGTTTGAAGCATCCACATGCTTGTGATCTTTACAAGGACCAGACTGCTATCTCTTGATTGGGATGGTTGTTTCGGTCTAGGTTTCGGTTTCGGGTCAGTGGGTATCAGCGTTGACTTATATTCTGTCTTTATTTACTCATATCTGTATATACTTATCCATTCTTCGATACCCAATGCTATAATGGGGCTTCATTTGAAACAGCATCTGCTCCACTCATAATTAACAAGAGCATTCAATCGAAACCAACCCGGTCCAATTCCCAAACAGGTAAATTGTTTACTCCTTGCACCAATCCACTCCCCCTCCCCCATCCCCAGACCAAATCCCATCTAAATCAAACACCTCCAAATCCCAGAGTTAAACTAAAAGTCTATCACGCGATCACCGCACAAACCCAAAGCAAAGGACCCCAAATCTCCAACTTCCAAATCCACCCAGCCAAATCTCAATATCAATTCCACTCCTTTCCCTCCCCATGTCGTTCAACACCCTCCACCTTGGAAAACGAGGCTCCGCTTTTCCCTGTCTCTAATGAGGGATGTTCCTGCTGGTTTCAGGATGAACGTACCTGTGCGTGTGCATGGTGGCAGGTGGGATGGGAAGGTTGGTGGATTTACTCATGGTTCATGGGCTGTTTGTATGTACATGTAACAATAATCTTGAATGGTTTTATAATAACTATCTTCGTTGTAGACACAGGGACGGAGCTCTGGTAAGTCGTCTGGTTTGTAGGCTGTCGAACTATAGAACGGGTTAAGCTATACATTTGGAGTTAAGCCAATTCGTCTCAGTCGTGGAAATCGAGACTCATGAAATGGGCTTGTTATCTAGATGGTTGATTAACTGTAGTATAGATTGTCTGGGTAACTATCAGACTTTGAGTCTAGATGGCGTTCACCCTACTGACTGTTATATCATCCATTACGTTTGGTGTATACCGCAAGGCCAGTTAGTACATAGATAGTACAAATTCGAAAAGTCGCATATCAACTAAAGGTAGGCAATGTTCATCTAGGGAAGCAAGATGCTTGATGACATATCAGTGAACGATTGAAGCCGGTCAATTGCTCAATATACTGATCAAAGAGTGACATAAGATGACCAGAACAGAAATGGAGAGGTTCGAGAGAACAGAAATTACTACTGCTTCAGACTAGGCTGGACCAGACTGGCCGGTCTACTTTGCGATTAGTATCTAGGAGATGGAAATGGTAGTAACTTAACGTCGCACTGAACTCGACTGGACTGGCTTGGACTGGAGGATTCTACAGTAGACTAGCAACTCACGCATAGAGAAAGATGTCGCACAGAGCATGAAGAACAAAACAAGTGATAGACTAAACTGTTCATCCACGTTCTGGACATATTAGTCCACCTTGATCTAGATCGGTCGTGGCACACGTGGATATATATCTAGCATCAACCACCAGGGTGAGCTTAAGCGATTTATGACATAAGACACGACAAAACAAACCAAGCCGAAACCCAAGTATATACTTAACTTAATCCTATTTACTACTGTATCTGTATTTCCAATTGCATCCTGTATCCCGTCCTCCCCCTATCCTCCAATCCCGCTCGGCGTCCCTCGGGTATCACCACCACCAAACCAAGCCCAGCCGAATCCTGAGTAACCCCGCGTGTCGCGTGTCGGAGAACACTTCGTGTTTGGTGTTCGCCGTTCGGTTAACATCGACCGATCAGGAAGGTAAGCTTCCACTTTGGGTGACGGTAAGCTTAGGTTTGGACGTTGCTTGGTGGGTGTGAGATGGGCGTGTCAGGCTTTTGGTTCGTCTTGACCTTTTGGATTTCGCTTACCTGCGGATATCTTGCAGCTTACTCGAGCGGCGTTTGTGCTACGTCCTTGTTTCGACTTATGTTTCCAATGTGATTTCGGGGTTTGGTTAATTCTTTGGTTTTTGTGTGGCCTCGGGGTTGGTTTCATGGGGTTGTGCGGGTTCGTATAATGCTTGTCTTGTTTGACTATGTCTTGCTGGACGCCTTGTTTGGGGGGCTTGGGAGAGTCGTACATGATGCACACTGACATAGGAGGAAAGGATTCGAAGAGGTCGAATTAGACGAGGCATTTGTCCGTTCGCCTATTCTTCTCTACTTTTGGTTATGTTTTTGTTTCCTTTCTCGATTTCTAATGGGCTTTGATCGCGCTCAATCTGATCCTGCTCCGTCTTGGGTGCCAGTTACACAGCATCAATCCCAAGAACCAGGTTGTAGGCGAAAGTCTGATCGCAGGCCGCGACTGAAATAGAAGGCTCGTGTTGGTTATGTTGACGATTGCAGACATATGTTTCGTTTTGTTTACGGGGCTGCGGAGAATTTGCGACACTTCTTTCGTTTCTGATTCTGCATGCACTGGACTTACTCGCAGCATGGTCGTTCCCTGATGTTTTCAGGCGTGGTGTTTCATGATATATCCCGGTTGCTTGAATAGTGGAGGGTTGTAGACATTTGGATTTGCCTGGGTGTTTTCTGGAACATAGACTTGCCATTGTATTGCATGCTCTAAGGGACGGTTTCCTATTTCGGCAGGGTGGACACCACTCCAGAGGTTGATACTGCACACGTTGCATACTTAACACAGCAGCTAAGCTAAAACTCCAATATCCCCCGGTCGCAATGCCATGAGTGCATACTTACATACCGTCAACCCAGCTCAATATCCAACTCGAATATCCTAAGTCCATGAAACATGGGCGATGCCTGTCCTAACACTGGCGATCAGACATAAGCAGCGAACCGAGCTCAAGCGTGGACGATCCCCAGCAAATCAATCGTAACGCCTTGCACTCTACATAAGCATGGTAGTCATGTATGTACCTGCTCGTTGAATGTACGCCACCATCAATCCCCAGCATGTAATAGGGGTACCTGATCAAATATCCAGACAGAATAACCAAGGAAAGCGCTACGCCCTGCAGCACCACGAATGCACCTGCCACACAGACACCTGCATAGGATCGCCCAACTATAGAACCTAATCATGAGCAGTTCCTTGATCCGCCACGGGGGTCATGTCACAATCACAATCACAGTGCGTACATGTAGACTCCAAGCAGATCACTAAGGAAAATGCGTACATTTGTGCAACCATCGTAATGCGCAACGCTCAGGCCGAAAATGACAATTATCAGCGGACTAGCGGACTAGCTTCGCCCTGTGCCGTGCTCACGGAAGCTAGCGACGTGGAGATTCAGTCCATTCCCAAAGGCGCGCCGGAGCGCCCGACTTACCCCATGCTCCAAGGCGTGTCACCAACATCGTCAATTTCGGATACTCGGATGAATAGATTAACACCGCCTCAGTGGGGTTTGGATCGAGCATTTGCGTCATCTCGGGGAGCGCGATGCTGCTCCCCCATAGGCTGCATGTAGTGGCTAGAGGGCTAGAGGGTGGGGATAATATGGGGAGACTCAATTTTTTGTCTGTGGCACAGGTGGAAACAGTCAAAATCGTGGGCTACGGTATCTGAACTGTAATTGTCGATCTGTCGTGTTTATTCCGGAATTCCTTAGACCCACACCCACGTCTTTCAGACATTTCTGGTGGGCCTCAATATTTTTTACCGCCTGTGACTAGTTATTGTACAGTACATGTTGATTGTTTGCCTCGCCATTGATCGGGGGATCTGCGTGCCGAGGGATTAAGGTCAAAGTGACACCTCAGAACTTATTAGTCAATCTATCCGTGTCGATCGGGGTATTGCGTATACATGTACCCTAACTCGCAGGTATACAATCTAGTTTCCGAGATCATCGTAGAGTCGGTCATGCTCTGCGTATTGTTGCGTAAACCTGATTTTGTAAAAGAGTGACTGCAATTGGACTAATACCCTCATTCTCTTCCCATGTATACATTTGGAATACCTATACATAACACCATGTGTCTATAGATTGCTACAAGTCCCATAGTTCAGATAAAGGCACCCGGCAGCCGGAAACAGAAAAATGTCCAACAGACAAGGAACAGCTGCTCGGGGAGCTCCTAGTAAGTTTTTCCAGCGCTTATGCCACTGCCTCGTCCTCGGTGGCCCAGTGTAACGCCTGCTCTCGAGGCCATCATCTGAGTAGCAATAGAACACATCCACGACATTCCCTCTTTAGTCGTTACACACATCTCAGAGACCAGGGTCAGATGGTCGGGTCCCAGTTTTGATTCAGATAAAACCTTGGTGAGGCAAGCCTGTGAGAGCCTACTAGAGGATTGGGTAAAAGCCAAGCCGAGGGGCTTGCGGATCGCTTTCCCACTGCGAAGCGATTGGACAATATTCTATGTCTGTGATAGTAACGCAGGATAGCATTTATCGAAAAATAAATTATATATCCGTTTTTAGAGTCCAGATCAATCGATTCGCGCAATTATCCTGCATGGTACTGTACATGTGAATGTACTGAATCAGAAAGTTGATCAGGAAGGCGGGTCACTGATTCACTGGGTAAAGAGCTTGGCTCTGATCCCGAAGTTAATCTTGCATCGATAGTGTCGTAAGTGGTAGGCGGGTAAGTGAGTGATTGGTGGTGTTTTGACCCTCGTGGAGGGGTGATGTGATTCACCCAGACGAACCGGTAGATCACAACTCAGAGCCCGGGTGACATTACCAGGCACACTAGCGTGACCTATGTACGGTTTCTAGAGAGGATCTTACCCTATCAAATTGGCCGACGTTCATGTTTTAGGCCAATTCTTTGGCCGATTCCGAACTGGTTTTCAAGGCTCTAATGCTAAGGTATCTTCAACACAGATTCGCTTTGTATCGGTAACTTAAATTAACAAGACGAACACCCTGTTCCACACACATCAACTATAAAATCGATATAAGTGTATTGCCTATCTGGGAAAAGGTACTGTACTTATCGCAAGGCTTGAAATGCGTAAATGTTGATGCATAATCGGGCCCTCGCTTCCCAAAACTCAACCAGCGCTAAACCAATCCCAATCCCACATGGACTCGCAATAGGACCCAACCACATGGAACCGTGGAGGTGTAAGGACCGGTCCGCGCACGGCGCACGGCATAACTGGGCAGCCCGCGAGACCAATAGAGCGGACTGAAAATCGAGAATCCAGGTGTATTCGAGGAAGACAGACAGGGAGATACCTAGCCAGTGAAGATGATTTGTGTCAACCCGTAGGTAAATGTCACCACTTGCCTCACGCAGGGGGCGGGGGTGGCCATGTGACGCCCGTGGAGATCAGAGCGCCGGTATTGCAGGGGTGCAATGGGTGCCGAGGGGAGTTGATTAGGACTAGAAAGGAAGGAGATAGTTGTTAATGCCTGTGCTATTACAGATGCGAGGCGGCATTACTCGGTTAGCGAGTAATATCATCAATTTAGAACGTTAATTCTCTTAAATTGTTACATGTACTTCCATTCCTGCATTTGGGTATTTGTCACCCCCGACAGGGATCTCTACAGTAGATCGAGTATACTATACAGCAAACCACTAAAAACACTGTAACAGATGAACCCCTAACCCAATTCGAATAGATCATTCAAGATCGCCAACAGAAATACGCTAGTCATAGCAAACACGCACCCTCCTATTACCTATCGCGGATACGTCAAGCGGGTCCGACCTGTCATTCTGGCTTCAATAGTGCAACTAGCGTCTGCATATCACGCCCGTGCCCGGTACTCCTGAATGCTCGACGGAGAATACTTTGTCTTTGTGGAGCTGAAGACTGGAGACAGACTACACTTTGATCGGAAATTCCCGTGCACGTCTGAACAAAAAAAAATCTCTACTTCGTATGGCCGCCTGAATCAATAGTATTATGAATTTCAAATTGCGTACACCTCCCCACTTGATTCTTTGTCTCATCCGAAACTTACTGTAGACACTCCCTCTGTCATTTACCCGCTTAACCCGGGTGACTGGGGGCTTGTCATGAGTTGAGCCGTGCCTGTGCTTCCGTGCCCGCCCAGGCTTACTAAACATGTCCAATGTTGAAATTCCGCTTACTGGTCTGTTTGCCGTATAGTGTATAGGGTAGTGAATACTATGGCAACAGTGGGGGCCAAATGGTATAGGCGATGTCCGTCAACGATAACCGACCGAACTCAACTAGTTGTACATCTGCCGTAGGGCTAACAAAGTTAGAAATATCACCAACCGTGGTTAGAGGGAGTAAGCGGCCAAATTACGCTAGAGGAAAGAGGCTTATCTGTTTATTTCGCTCCACCACTTCTCTCAGGGGACGGGGCAGTAAAGCGGTAAAACTGCGGGTGATATTTCAACATCCAGTATCTGACCCCAATTTGTGGGACTTGGGCTCGGGTGTTGGGCGTTGGGTCGCAGGATCCGGATCCAGGCACCTGGATTCTAGAGCTGTCACTCGGTTTATGTTTAAGGGATTTTGCTGGGACAGTCTAGAGCGTTTGATCGTCGAGTTGGGCTGGGGAATGTGGACTTGTCAATATTCGGTGGGTCGTCCGATGAGACTAAATAGGAAGTAGTAAGATGTACTTCAGTTCGGAGAGAATGGGGTTAGATTAAACACAGAAACCAAGAAATTAGAATGATTGGATTGTTTTGTTAGATGCTGAGAGATTTCCCACGTGTCTACTGTATGCCGTCGGTCTTGTCTGCATGCATGGTACTTGGTTTTAGCAGGGCATTGTCGCGGGTTTGCTGTTGTGCAACGTGCCATGTGTGACACTGGGTAATGTTCTGGAAGACACTTTGGCTTATTTGCACAAGGTCCATCCCTGTAGTTCATTTTGTCCTCATTTTGTGGCGCGCCGTTGAGCGACACAAGGATCGCTTCTTGAAACACGCCTCTGGACTCAGTAGAGTGAAGGCATTCCCGATCGGGCAAATATTGAATTAAGACTCGGTGGGTCCCGAAGTGAGTTGTGTGGAAATGAGTCCTAAACGAGATGCTTGCCTATGCGCCGGGCATAGCCTGGAGGATCAGTAGCGTATGTCGACTTGGACAGGAGAACCACGGTTTTCATTCAATAGGCGCCCTTACCACGATTTCTAGGCAGGGATATGGACGAACCTACAATTTTCCTGATTTTCTAATTGGAAGACGGGAATGCATCTAACAATACAAACGTTTGTGAAGCGCGCGTGCTCGAGCCCAAAATAGTCGTCAGATCGTGAAGGCGTTTATGGGGGCCAATACATCAAGCCAAGATTTGGGGTCCAAACCGTTTTCATCCTACGAAATAAACAAGGGGCAATAGACAAGAGCCCATCGAAATAAACCGCGAACAAAAGAACAAGCCAACGGCGGATATCTAGGTTGTGCGACTCAATCAGCGGGGACCATTACATCCATGTATCGCCGACCACATTGCAGCTCATACCAACACTTAAAACATGGTATCTCAACTAGAGTTACGCCATGTACAGTAGGATGTAGCTAATCTTGGATGGTAAACATAGCAACACCAACCTCCGTCATGCTGTGCACCCAGGAAAAAGCAATAATAAAAACGAGACCGTCACTGCAACGACCAGGATCACTAGACTAGAGTAAAAATCACACATGCCTAAATCAGTTAGCCATGTCAAGACGTAAACAGTATGCACGATCTCAAAGCATGCTGATGTCGATCGTTGCCCCTCCAGACGTGGGTGTTTCACCCTGGGCTTGTTTCATTTCTTATTTTAGAAACACCACATGGGTGACAGGGATTAGGGCTGCTTTCCCCTCCCCTCCCCCAATAATATGTACCCTGTCTCGGTAGGGCTAAGAGCCGCTCTTGATGTTATGAATAGACCGGAGGCTCAGGAGTTGGGATCGGCAGGTGTGAATACACATGTAGATCCGGCGTCTACAGGACGGATTTAGACATGACTGTGATTACTTCCTCCGGCTTAATGTTGGCTGTGTGTTTATTCTTAGAGGGTAATCTTTGGTTTGTCCGGGGAAATACCTTGGAAAATATCAATGCTTCACGGGTAGTATTTGCCACTATGGGGACAAATGAGCCCCTGGGTGATCTGACCACCGGGCAAATCGGTCAACGGTGGAGAGTGCCATATGGCAGTCAGCCATGGATCACCCTTTTCCCCTTTTGGTAGCGTGTTGTGTTCTCTGTTTTTGAAGCTCGCTTCCGGAAGTACCGACGCATCCCTCCACCATGGTGCATTCATTCTTAAATTAAGCTGACAAACCAAGAGCCTCAGTTAATTTGTAATCTCATATGGCGGGCCTTAAGAAAAAGGCTTCGGAGTCGCCGGACCCGCAAAGACGGTCGCAGAGTCAGACGGCATGTATGAATGCTGAATGGGCAGACGAGCATCCCGGGTCCGTGGTGACGGCTGGTGTGGAGAGGTCTTGGCGGACTCTAATCTTGACAGTGTTTTACGCATGTTTCCGATGGATAATTACCAAAAAGATGAGGCTGTTGGGGGCCAAAGTGGGACGGGACTTCAGCGAATTGGATTGCTCTAATGTCCGATCTTCCATCACACGTGTGAAAGAGATGTTCGGATCATGCTCTTCTGGGTGCTTACTGGGTACAGTTGTCTGTCAAGGCATCGTTTCAAGTTTGGGTTTGGGTTTGACACGTTGATCATGCCATCTTACGCATGAAGTATAGGGTAATCAAGGTTAACGGGCAGGCCGGTCAGAAAGCCAAGCCTACACCCTGTATATTAAATCAATACTGTGTACACAGCCTCTTGTCAAGCATGGCGTAAGGGGTCCACGATTCCCCAGGGCAAAATACGAGATGATATCATTTTCCCCCAGTTTTGCCGTAATCTAGATTTTAGGTAAATAACTTTACAGTAGCACCGGGATCGCCGACAGATACGAACTTCTTGGCCGTCAAGCGGTGTATTTGACCAGACTGCGCCTCGATTACAGTATTTGGACCCGCTTGCCGACATATCCTCGCCCAATTATCAGACGACTTTTCAACCCTGCAGCCATTCAATGGATCTGACACCCTCCAGCTTCGCCTATGATATGCCAGTCCCTCTATGGAGCCTGTGGCTCAGGCAGGCATTGTGGCGCTAGTTTTGAGCTGGTGCATTGGCGCTCACCGACCCTGTAGGGACGGTAGGGACGGGCGCTCCGAGTTGACACCCGGCTAGGGCTACATGTCTATGCGCAAGAAAATTAAGTGGATTGGTTATTGTTTCCCCCGGCTGACAGCATGAAGGCTATCTCAATCCATATTGAGTGTTTACCGTCATAATCCACTCCACACACGGGATATGACCAGAAAATCAGTGTTTCTGCTGTACATGTATACCCATTAATCCGGAATTTCACTTGAATTCCCCTTCCGATAGACCCACCTGGGCTTCTTTTTTTCTTCGATGAACTTCCGCTGTCACTATTGACGGCATGTGGGTAAAACTACGATGTGATAGATACAGTCGGATATATATTAAAAAAAAGGAGAACTGGAAAAGGAAAGAGCTGCAACGATTCTACGTGTACATCATTTCCGAGTATGCCAGATCATCCCATCGTTCTAAGGCGTAAAAGGCAACCAACAGCAGGCCAAATTACAATAGCTATGCGGCTCTTGCACGAGCACAAGGACAACACCGAGGCGTCATCCAAAAGGGCATAAGTAGAAGCACACTAACTGCAAACAGACACAGATTACCGTAATTTGTACAATTTTCACTGTAATCTGTAATGATCGCCCAGGACAAACGCAAAAAGGGTATAGCGTCCCCAAAGAAACCAAAACTCGCGAACCCACGCCCTAAGGAACGCCCCCCTTGATCGGAAGGCCTTTCCAAGCCCTGATTGGGGACTCATCGGGGACTCCCTCATTTCACGTTTGATTGGGCGAACACCTGGACCAATCCTATGCCCGTGCGGGCAGTGGCCGTGCCGAAATGGCTGTGTGGGGAGGGCAGATGGTCCCCGGAGCCGATCGACTGAATGATTGGATTTTGTAGTCTTCGGTAGCATCGTCGGCCAGATCTTGGACTTCCATCCTAGGCTTAAATGATAGGCGTTGTCCCACTACAAAAATTTCCCCCTTCTGTCATACAACAAGTGCTTGAGTCGGATCCGAACTGCTGGAATGGGATGTGATTAATTTTTTCATCCGATGGTGAGATAAATCTTCTATTACCTTTACATATTCAATTGGGTACTGTAGGTGACAAGCCTAAACGGATGCCAAGCCCTGCCATGCGGACATGCCGATGTCGAAAAGGATATCTGGGGCTATTACTGTCATATCTCCACATAACAAAGAATAGAGTAGATAGTTACATGTAATGATGCATCTGAGATAGAATTCTGGGTAAATCTTGTTAATTTAACACCATGTGTAATAATAGCCCAAAACTATTAAAAGAGGTCCACCCCAGCCTGCATAGGCGGCTAACCCTTGTCCCTGTTCGTGCCAACAATACGGTATTTTATTTTTATCTTTTTATTTTTATTTTTATTTTTATTTTTATTAAATTCTTAATTCTTATTTAATTTCTTATTTAATCTAATTACTTTTATTTTATTTTTCTGTTCCAGACACTGCAGACTATATCTGTAGGGCGGGTCACTGTCTCTATAATATCCCTTCGCCCCCCCCGGAACTCATATTCTAAACCAGTTTATCCTCCTTACAACTTGAATGCTGTCTTTGGATCCTTTCTTCGTCCCCTTACATCTCGCACGTTGCCTTTCCGTGGTTGGCATTTTTGTTTGGCCGAGCGGGCCGCGATCTCGCCCAAGAACCTTAGTATGTACAGCGACTGCGACTGAGATAGAGTATGTGCTAACCAGCTCCAGCATTGAGGGCATGACGACCTCTGATTTCGTTCTATTTCCCATGGCTGTCCAAAGATCTAAGCAATACTTCATGGATCCCGTCGACATGTTTTACCCGATGGATGTCTACGGACACACCGACCTATCCCGTCTTCCCCATTCGTACTTCGATACCCACATGTTCGAGTCCGAGCTCAAGAACCCCAATTTCTCTACACCTACAACACCTCCTTCCGCATACTCTACAGAACCCCAGGTTCCCACTGGCTCTGCTGCCTCTGGACCATCCATTGCGAGCGCATCCTCCTCTGCCATGGGATCTCCATATTCAGGGACCGCGCATGCTTTCCAGGAGAATTGGGTCAACACAAACAACGGGCTGGGCCTGCCAGGTGTAGTCATGAATGATCTGTTCTCGCAAGAGTATATGGGAAACACTATGGATATGGACATGCTCTATCAAGAAAAGTTCCCGGACAGTTATGTCGGTATGTGGTCGCCAATTATGCTGGAGCAGTCGCAGATACTGACCGATACAGATCCTTCATTGATCCAACCAGTGCAGCAAGGCCCTGGTCTCACTCCTACTATCTCCTATCCCGAACATTCCAACTCTTACTCTAACCTGCCACACAACTACCTTGTGCCCTCTCCCGCAACTTCCCCCCATCCATATAACGATATCGCAGAGCGCCATCCCTCTCCGCGCTCGCACCCGGCGCAACATGCTGGGCCATCGCCTTTGATGGTGCCGCAGTCACAATCGCGACCAGTCTCGTTATATGATAGACGATCCTCTATCTCCTCCATCCGATCGCGACACTCGCAGCACAGCCCGGCGCTGAGCAGCATTGATCCGGATGATGAGACCAAGGAGAAAGGGCAATGCCCTCACCCCGAGTGCGGACGTGTTTTTAAAGATCTAAAAGCACATATGTTAACTCACCAGTCAGAGCGGCCAGAGAAGTGCCCGATTCTGACCTGCGAGTACCACACCAAGGGCTTCGCTCGCAAATACGATAAGAACCGCCATACATTGACCCACTACAAGGGCACAATGGTCTGCGGGTTCTGCCCGGGACCTGGATCTCCTGCCGAAAAGAGCTTCAACCGCGCCGACGTCTTCAAGCGCCACTTGACTTCCGTCCACGGTGTGGAACAAACACCACCCAACTGCCGCAAGCGCAGCCCCAGTGCATCAACAAAGAAGGGCACAAACTATAGCAGCGATGCCACCGGCAAGTGCTCGACCTGTTCCGCGACTTTTAGCAACGCCCAGGACTTCTACGAGCATCTGGACGACTGTGTCCTGAGCGTGGTGCAGCAAGAGGAGCGTTCCGAGGCTATCAACCAGCAGCGCCTGGCAGAAGTCGCCGGCGACGAGGAGGTCAAGAAAACGATGGAAAAGCACCAACTTGACGTGTCCGATCCTGCCGATACATTCAATGATTATGACGAGCTCAACAATGACGATTCCCACGACTTCTCCAACTGGCGCGCCGGTCACAGCGGCCTAAAATCCACCAAAGGGAACGGCATCCCTTCCTCGCGCTCGATAATTGGATCCGGCAACGCTATCTCTAAAACGAAGCCACATCGAGCCATCGCAACTCGCCGCCGCAACAACCGCGGCAATTATCCACAGTCCTGGGGCTGTCCCAGCAGCAGCATCAAGACCAAGAAGCGTGTGCTCTGCGTCTTCGATGGCCAGCGCCGGCTGTGGAAGGATGAGATGATGCTCAATAATGAATTCGAGGTCCGTGTCCGACTGCCTCGTCATGTGGAAGATGACCGCGATGCCTATGTCACCGATCTGGACATTGAGACCCTCAACCGTGCTGAGGGTGTTCTTGGCGCTACGGATGAGGAGCGCGGTCCTTGGATTGGTGGTCCCGCGTCTTATATTATGGGCCAGCCGGCGATGCCTCTGCCAGAAATTGGCCAGATGCATGATGATGAGATTTCTATCAATGAATTAATGGCTTGAATGATTCTCCTATCCTATCTCTACCTCTCTCTTCTGCCTCTTTCTTCTCTCTTCTCCACCTTCTGACTTGGCCATATGTATGTTCTTTGATGTGTCATGTTTCCGTATAGCAGCGGCGTCTTGACGAGCGATTTGTCTGAATACGGATTATGGATGATACCTTGGGATTGATATGAGATGATTTTTCTCTTTGTTTCTTATGTTATTCGCCTGGCTACGTGATGGCTATACTGTGTACCGGATTCTGCTGGCCAGGATCTTGGCGATGGTGTTAATAGGGGACTCAAATGACTGTCTTCTAATGAGAAATTATATTCTATATTATACTCTATATCTGTTCCATTAGATTCTCTAAGCATAGTTGCGAATCGCCTTACCAACTGCAAGTGTATAGTTGGCTTGGCGGACATAAACGTTAACTAACCATTTGCCGTCCCGTCCCCCAACCCCAATCCCCACCTCTCCATGTTCCTCGCATCGTCACATCCCCAAGCTCCGCCATGCAATTAGCTCTACCAGAAAGTCTACCAACATTAGTTGCTAAGCGCTTCACAGCTGCGCGAGATGCCAGTCATCTGGTGTTCTCTTCAACCCACTTGTCGATAATCAACGCCGCAGGGATACTGGTGAGTGAGAACCCCAGGACAGGTCAAGACGTAGCTAACACCGCCCGACTACAGTATCAACTTCGCTACTGCCCAGCTCTCGCTAAGAAACCCTCCAACATCAAGCCTGATAATGGCCCCAAGATCCCCAAGCCAGATCCCTTCCAGCATCCTTCCCCAGAGCTTCTGGTCGCGCAATTCCCGCCCGAGAACCCCGCCTACAACCTGATTCTCAACAAGTTCCCTGTTATCCCGAATCACTTCCTCCTTGTGACAAGAGACTGGCAAGCGCAAACTGATCTGCTAGAAAAAGCAGATCTAGAGGCTACATATGAGGTCCTAAAAGCGTGGACCACATCCGGATCTAGCCAAACGAATGGCTCGAAGAGCCAGGGCCAGAGCCAGGGCCTCTTCGCCTTCTTCAACTCCGGCGACGACAGCGGTGCAAGCCAACCACACCGCCACCTCCAATTCCTCCCCGTGGAGGCAATGCGCCAACCCGGCTCGGAGACCTGGCATCCGCTGATCGACTTGCTCGCCTCCCAATCCACATCCCCTCCCTCCTCGCCTTCTACGACGCCGAAATTCCAACACCTTTCTGCCCTCCCCTTCGCTCACTTCGCTCTTCCGCTCCCGCCAAACCCCTCACCCGAAGCCCTCCACTCAATCTACACAACTCTCTATAAAGCTGCCGTTGCAGCAACACGCGGCTGCAGCCCACAGCAGGATACTGAGCCTGTTTCCACACATGGTGCATCGCTTATCGGCTACAATCTTGCTATGACTCGCTCGACGATGATGATTTGTCCCCGCCGGCAGGAGACGGCGGTCGTGCCGATTGACCCCGCGGCAGCGGCTGACATAGCCGATCTTGGGGTTCTCTCGTTGAACGGTACTATTCTTGCGGGAACGCTAATGGTCAAGGCTGAGAGTGAGTGGAATGCGCTACGAGAGAATCCGGAGTTGCTCACGCAGGTTCTTGCTACGGTTGGATTTCCGCGGACGGATTCCAGAGGCCCTTCTCTGTGAACGGTGAATGTGGAATGGGTGTTTATGTATAACCGTTGCTGACTTGTACTTTTTGGCTTGTTTTCTTTATTTTTACCTTGCATATCGGCACCTATCCGAATGGAGCTTGCATAAACGCGTTGTCAATCTACGACTGGAAGACTACTCAACCGACTCGAATCAAATCCAACTATGGGGCATCTGATATCAAGATAGCATTTGTACATATAACAACAAGACAACAAACAACAAACAAAGAAACAATGATGATATTCAACTGCAAATCTAAAGCTTCGACCCATTCGCCTTAGCAACCAAGTGCGCATTAACAGGCGTAACCGCCTTCCCAGTCCTCTCAAAAGAAAGAATATTCTCCATACCCAATCTCTCAAACCCAATATGCGAATCAACTGAAGCCCCAGCGTTATGAGCCATCATCTCCACATTCCGCATAGAAGCAAGCTTAGGACTAACCCTCGGCTCATCAAAATGCACATCCAAACCCGCCGCCGCCAACTTCCCACTCTCCAACGCCTCAACAAGCGCCCCCTCATCAAGCAACTTTCCACGAGCAATATTAATCAACCTAGCCCCATCCTTCATCTTCGCCAAAAGCCCCTTGTTAAGCAACGTCTCCCCACTAAACGGCGTCGCAACCATCACACAATCAGACACCGCCAGCAACGAATCCATTTCCTTATGATAGGTCGCCTTCGACACAGATTCAAGCTCGGAGGGCATCCGCACGATATCGTGGTAGTGAATCTTCATGTTCATCGCCAGGTATGCCTTCTCGGCCGTTCGTCGACCGATCTGTCCGAACCCAATTATACCGAGTGTGTGTCCGTTCGGGTTGTGCGAGACCATAGCCAGGTTCCGGTTTGCGTCGACGAATTGCTCAGCGTCCACCGAGCGCGCGGCTACATGGGACCAGCTGAAGAGACGGAATGTAGAGATTATCAGCCAGATTGCGGCGTCGGCCACAGATTCCGTGCATGCCGCTGCAGCGTTACAGTAGGTAACCCCTAAACCAACAGAAGTATAAATTAGCATCGACTTCTTCTTTCTCTTTACGTCCACATCCACTCCCATCAGCTTGTGTGTATACATACCCCTCTTAGCCAAAGCAGCCGTATCAACCCAGTCAAACCCAGCCCCAGCACTAGCATAAACACGACAAGAAGCCGGCAGAAGTGAGATAAGCTCCTCATCCCAATTCCCCATCTCACCACCGGTATTCCAGAACGGGCGGTAAATAGCAAAGAAATCACCAAAGGTGCGCTCTTTTAGGGCGCGCTTGAACTCTTCTCGGTTCATACTGTATGAACGGCGGATTTCAAATGCATCTTGGAATTTAGCGTAGAGCTCGTGGTTCCAGCGGATGTCGTCGCCTAGGTGGAGGACGATTGGTTTGGGCATTTTGGGCTGTATGATGTATGTATACTTCAGGGTAGAATGGATGGATGGAATGGATTAAGTTCAACAATTGAGCTTCAATTGAAATGAAATGAATTGGTTTCTAATATACAGGGTAGAGGCGCCGGAATTAGTTAAATATTTCTCTTCCTGCTTTTTACTTTCTCCGAATTGCAGTTATTCGCCGGTTATTGCTGTCTGGGTTGTGCGGCTATTGAGTTGCTTCCCCCGGGTATTGGGGTCACGGCTAATGAAATCCGAGGCGGGTTTTTTGGTGTGGGGAGATCGGCAGTACCCCATGGACTTGCAATGGGGTATACTGTATTTCTGGAGAGCGGAGATTACGTTTCGGTAGTTTATTCTGAGGCTTGTATAAATGTTTAGCTGTTTGTGCCTTTTGGGGGTTGTCCGAAGCACTGCTTTGATGGCGAAGCTGGCTACTACAAATTCTGGTATACTTCGGGGATAGGTCAGGCTAGAGAGGTTGGTACATACGCATAAACTAGGATAGAAAAACGTGTTATTAGTTGTAAACACACTGAATAGGCATTGATGACCCACCCAGGAAACAGCAACAAGCAGCATTGAACTCCTGGCGCAGGTTATCGCTCGTGGTTCATAAGAAGAGGGTCGGGTCAGCTATCGTGGCGTGGTGGGGGAGATCTAGAGATAGGCTGCCGTCGAATTCGACATTTATCATGACTGACAGTTTCTCCCGCTCATAGGGGTGGTGGTGTCGCATTCCAACCGTCACTATCTCATATGCCGCTTTGGGGGTGGAGTAGTCCACACTCATGTCATTCGCCAGTATGCCTAGCCATGTTGGGTTCCTTTTGGCCAAAGCCAAATTCGACCCTGGTGTTAGGTTTTATTTGCGGAGTGCCGGAGAATGCCGTGAAGGGGTACACTGACGCAAAGGCAGATATAAAAGGAGAGGAAGTGCGTGAGAGAGAGTTGCATAACTGTGGATATCTGAGGGGAGAGGAAGTTATGTTTATAAACATCCAAAGTGGAGGAAATGGCAAACAGATGGATAACTAGTCCATCCTGTTTGATGAAGGATATAGCATGCTTAACTGCCGGGGAAGATTGCCAATCCCGAATCCAATATATGAACTATACAACGTGAAGTTCATTGCCCGTTAGGTAGAATTATTCTTGTTTAAATGGAAAACAGTCTAAAAGTTCAGAAACCGCCAACGCTACGGTACAAAAATCAGACCAGCCGGAATGAACAAGATAATTATCAAACAAATCCCCATATGACCAAGCAAAGAGCAAAATACCTCCCAGAGATCACAACCAGCAGGCGCC